CATGATGGAGAGAGGCCACAATAGGGACTCAGAGCAGTGCCGCGTGAAAGTCAAGGAGCTCAGACAAGCCTATCAGAAAACAAAGAAGGCAAACGGTCACTCCGGGTCAGAGCCGCAGACATGCCGCTTCTACGCTGAGCTGCATGCAATTCTAGGGGGGGCCGCCTCCACTACCCCACCTTTGACCATGGATTCCGAGGCAGGGGGAATCTCATCAGCCACACCTGAGGATTCTGCGGACGGGGAAGAGGAGGAGGAGGAGGACGAGCTTGCGGAGAGCACACAGCACTCCGTTCTCCCCAACAGCCAGGATCTTTTTCTCAGCCTGACTGAAGTACCCTCCCAAGCCTCCCAAGCCAGTAGCCAAGACCATGACCCCATGGAAGGGACCTCAGGTGAGTTTACCTTTTAAAATATAAAACATGGTTTAAAAGCAAGCGTTTTTTAATGATTAATTTGCCCTGAGGACTTGGGATGCATTTGCGGCCAGTACAGCTACTGGAAAAGTCTGTTAATGTGTCTGGGGATGGAGCAGGGACATCTCCATGAAGCTCTCCTGGAGCTTTTGCAGAAGGTTTCTGGGCAGTGCAGCCTTATTCCGTCCTCCATGGTAGGACACTTGACCACGCCATGCTAGTAGCAAGTAATCTGGTATCATTGCATGACAAAGCCTGGCAGCGTATGGTCCCGGTGTTTGCTGGCATTCAAGCAACATCCGTTCTTTATCTCGCTGTGTAATCCTCAGGAGAGTGATATCGCTCATGGTAACCTGGTTGAAATACGGGAATTTAATTAAGGGGACAGAGGTGGCTGAAAAGAAATCCTTCCCTGTACTAAGCCAAGCGTGGGGGGGGGGATTGGCGCTGAGCTTTTCACGTGTGGCTAGCAGGGATCTTCCCTGATACCAGTCACGCAGTGGGGGGAAGGATAAAGCGATCATCCCAGAGAATTGGATGGGGGGGTTAGTTTGTTTTCTGCTGCTGAAGGTTAACAGGAAAACCGCAGCAGTCAACAAGCTTTGCTTGGTATGTGGGAAAGGAGGGCGCAGAAGCCGAAAGACAATGGCTTACCGTGGCCGCATGCAAGCCGAATTCTGTTGCCCGGACCGGCGTCTGTGATCTGTAGCAGCAAAGCCACAGGCACTCAATATTAAGAGGCAAAATGTGACCTTGCTCAGAAATCACATGTGCTATGTAATGTGAATAGTGTTGTTCACAGTGAAAGAGTATAAGCATTGTTCTGTAAAATGTATCTTTTTAAAAAATTCTCTCCTTTTTTCCCTCCCTCCAGCAGCTGCAAATTTTTCAAGCCTCCCTCCTCCGTCCCGAAGGCTATCTCAGATAAGGCGTCGGAAAAAGAGAACGCAAGACGAGATGTTCGCGGAAATCATGGAATCCACCCGCAATGAAAGAGCTCATCTAAATGAGTGGAAGGACACGGTTTCAAAGTATAGGAAAGATGCCAGTAAACGTGAGGACAGGAGGGACCAACGTGAGGACAGGAGGGACCAACGTGAGGACAGGAGAGATGCTCGAGATGAGAGGTGGCGGCAGGAAGATCAGAGGAGGCAGGATGCAATGCTGGGGTTGCTGCGTGAGCAAACAGACATGCTCTGGCGTCTGATGGAGCTTCAGGAACGGCAGCAGGATCACAGACTGCCGCTGCAGCCCCTGTATAACCACCCTCCCCCCTCATCATGTTCCATAGCCTCCTCACCCAGACGTATAAGAACGCGGTGGGGGCGAGGCTCCGTGCACCCTCCCATTCCACCCTAGTGGACAGCCCAAGCAAAAGGCTGTCATTATTTTAACCTTTTTTTAGTGGCCTTTTCCTTCCCTCCGATCCTCCTCCCAAACCCCACCCGGGCTACCTTCTCAGTTCGCTCCCTCTTTTTATAATCAATTAATAAAGAATACATGATTTTTAAACGACAGTGACTTTATTTCCTTTGAAAGCAAGCTGTGATTGAAGGGGGAGGGTGGGTTGCCTACAGAGAATGAGTCAATAAAGGGGGTGGGTTTTCATCAAGGAGAAACAAACAGAACTTTCACACGGTAGCCTGGCCAGTCATGAAACTGGTTTTCAAAGCTTCTCTGATGCGCCGCGCTTCCTGGTGTGCTCTTCTAATCGCCCTGGTGTCTGGCTGCGCGTAATCAGCAGCCAGGCGATTTGCCTCAGCCTCCCATCCTGCCATAAAGGTCTCCCCCTTACTCTCACAGAGATTGTGGAGCACACAGCAAGCAGCAATAACAATGGGGATATTGGTTTGGCTGAGGTCTGAGTGAATCAGTAACGTGCGCCAGCGACCTTTTAAACGGCCAAATGCACGTTCTACCACCATTCTGCACTTGCTCAGCCTGTAGTTGAACAGCTCCTGACTCCTGTCCAGGCTGCCTGTGTATGGCTTCATGAGCCATGGCATTAAGGGGTAGGCTGGGTCCCCAAGGATAACTATAGGCATTTCAACATCCCCAACGGTTATTTTCTGGTCCAGGAAGTAAGTCCCTTGCTGCAGCCGTTTAAACAGAGTAGTGTTCCTGAAGACGCGAGTGTCATGAACCCTTCCTGGCCAGCCCACGTTGATGTTGGTGAAACGTCCCCTGTGATCCACCAGTGCTTGCAGCACCATTGAAAGGTAACCCTTGCGGTTTATGTACTGGGTACCCTGGTGCTCTGGTGCCAAGATAGGTATATGGGTTCCATCTATCACCTAACCACAGTTAGGGAATCCCATTGCAGCAAAGCCATCCACTATGGCCTGCACATTTCCCAGAGTCACTACCTTTCGTAGCAGCAGCTCAATGATTGCTTTGGCTACTTGCATGACAGCAGCCCCCACAGTAGATTTGTCCACTCCAAATTGATTCCCGACTGACCGGTAGCTATCTGGCGTTGCAAGCTTCCACAGGGCTATTGCCACTCGCTTCTCAACTGTGAGGGCTGCTCTCATCCTGGTATTCTGGCGCTTCAGGGCAGGGGAAAGCAAGTCACAAAGTTCCATGAAAGTGCCCTTACGCATGCGAAAGTTTCGCAGCCACTGGGAATCGTCCCACACCCGCAACACTATGCGGTCCCACCAGTCTGTGCTTGCTTCCCGGGCCCAGAATCGGCGTTCCACGGATAGAGCCTGCCCCATCAACAACATGATCTCCAAAGCGCCGGGACCCGCGGTTTGAGAGAATTCTGTGTCTGTGTCCATGTCCATGTTCTCATCACTCTCGTCGCCGCACTGCCGTCGCTGCCTCCTCCTTGCCTCGTTTTTCTGGTCCTGGTTCAGCATAAATTGCACGATAATGCGCGAGATGTTTACAATGTTCATGACTGCTGTCTTGAGCTGAGCGGGCTCCATGCTTGCCGTGGTATGGCGTCTGTTGTGTTCACCCAGGAAAAAAGGCGCGAAACGGTTGTCTGCCGTTGCGTTCCTGGAGGGAGGGTGAGGCTGTACCCAGAACAACCTGAGACAATGTTTTTTCCCCATCAGGCACTAGGATCTCAACCCAGAATTCCAATGGGCGGAGGAGACTGCAGGAACTATGGGATAGCTATGGGATAACTACCCACAGTGCAACGCTCCGGAAATCAACACTAGCCCCGGTACATGGACGCACACCACCGAATTAATGTGCTTAGTGTGGCTGCATACATTCGACTTTATACAATCTGTTTCCAAAATTTGAATTCTGTAAATTCGGATTAATCCCGTAGTGTAGACATACCCCAAAGCACAGTATGGAATTTTTAGTGTGTGTTACCAGGGTCCACATGGACAGTGCGTGTGCGGCAGGCTATTACACTGTAGATTTACATCCCAGCTTCCCGCACGCTGTGGCCATATAGACAAGCCCTAAGTTGTGATGTGGTAGGTCTCTGACTTGAAGAGAAGCTCCTGATTCAATCTGCACTTAGTTATCGTGGGTGCATCTGCTGAGAATTGCTGCTGATCCAAGACTGAGTGCGATCTGCTCACCTCACTTCCTTTGTAAATGCTACTGAATAACAGTTAAGTCCTGCAGCACAGTTTGGAGGAGCTAGCTTTGAGATCTCTGGATAAGTACTATATAAGAGCTAGGTATTATTTATTATTACATTAGCTATGTGCATGATCTTGAAAGTACAGGATGAGGCCCACACATCATGCCCCGGTTAGGAATTCAGCAAAGCAGCAGGCTAGACTGCCAGGACATCCGTTTCATCTGCCTTTAGTTAATGTTTACAGGGAAAGTGAGGCAAGAGGCCCCTTTTCATTCTCAGCCTAGGGTCAGATGCGTTGGTCAGTAAGGTCAAATCAGTGGTGTGTTCAGCAGCTAGCAACTAATTAAATGTCATTTGCACTGGGGTTTTTGGTTGTCCTGGGCTGCCAGATAATAAGATTTGTCTTGTTTGCAAAGCATTGCAAAGATAGGAAGCTTTATAAATGAAATGAAAAGTGGAAACGAAATCAGACCTGGGGCCCATTGTATGTAAATTCAATTTTACAAGACAACTGGCTACAGAGTGCAAAAAAAAAAAAAAAATCTGAAAACTTAATCCACTTTGGGGTTTTACAAATATTTTTATGTCTTAGTCAATCCAGAAATCTTTTTAAATGAATCCAGTGCTTGCAAAAAATTATGATATCCTGGGAGACTGACATGCTCTATTTGGGATATAGCTGTTCTTCATATGGACTTGGAAGTGCAGGTTAGTTTCCCTTCCACTCCGACTTACAACAAAGGGGCCAGTTATGTGATGTCCATCAGAACTGGACTGAGAGACCCTCCTCATATATAGGGTACCAAACAGCCTTTGTGTCAGTATAAACCAGGGGTTCTCAAACTGGGGGTTGGGACCCCTCAGGGGGTCGTGAGGTTATTACATGGGGGGGTCGTGAGCTGTCAGCCTCCAGCCCAAACCCCGCTTTGCCTCCAGCATTTATAATGGTGTTAAATTTATAAACAAGTGTTTTTAATTTATAAGGGGGGGTCGCACTCAGAGGCTTGCTATGTGAAAGGGGTCACCAGTACAATAGTTTGAGAACCACTGGTATAAACATTGGTTGGATTTGAACCAGGACCTAGAGGCAAAAGGCTCTATATCCTATCACTAATCATCTGAACCAGCCACCTTCACTTTATAATTCTTGACACTCAATGGTGCCAAAGTGAAGATTGTTCCACAAACTGAGTGAAAACATCACACTTTTCTCTCTTCAACTAGTCAGGACCAGCAAAGAGGGTGAGAAATGTGGTGGTATCACAAGGAATGGGCTTGTTCTCTGTGTTCCATGCAATAGGATACAGGGATTTTATTCTTTGATTAAACTTAAAAAAACAACATTCATCTTGGGCAGATCTCTGGAATGTCACATTTCATTCATAATTTTTTACAGCCAGAGTATCAGTTCTTGGAAAAACACATAGCTGTCAATTGAACTAGAGAGCCAGGCCAGGCCACTCCTTTATATAATTTAACTCATCTCCTTACTCTACATAAGCAGAAAGCTGTAGATAGAATTCTCCATGAGCAGTGGAATATGCTGACATTTCAGTGGAGAGCAGGGTTTAAGGTTCGGGAAAAAATAGTTTTATCCTAGGAACTAATTTTTTTTCCCCCAGGAAACATCTCATTGTGGCTAATAATGGGAATGTGCCACAGGTACTGTGGGGTTTGTGGTGAATTGTGTCTGTCTATATGCAGGAGTCCTTCTTGCCCAACTTTATTAAATACATGTGGGGCTGGTGCTAAAGCTCAAGACCTTCATCTCCAGCTATACACAGGCATCTAACCAATGATCTTCTACGCAAAGAGCTCCGCAGGCTCAGAGAGCTGGTATGTGCCCAAGCAGATCTGATTCCTTCCATCCATTAATGGGTTAATGTACATCACGGGTTAATGGAATGTCAGGTATGAAGGAGGAAGGCTATACTTGTGGTTTAGACAAAAGGCTCGGAGTTGGACCTGGGCTTTTGCAGTGGCTTCCTCTGTGACTTTGGGTAAGTTGCTTAGATCAAAATGTAAGTGTCCATTAATGAGGGGTGTCTCCCTTCTTGGGTGCTCAGCTTCAGATAGCTAACACCTTATCTTGATCAGAGGTGCTGAATGCCCGCAGCCCCTGTTGAAGTAATGCATGCACAGTGGCTCTCCAAAACCAGGCTGAGTCTTGAGTTGAGCGTGCACACATTTTAAAATCGAGCCTTTAGTCACTCTGTGCCTCAGTTTCCTCCTCTGTAAAATGGTCATCACAATCACCTGTCTCACAAGGGTATTGTGAACTTTAACGTACAAATGTCTGCAGGTGCTTGGAGATCCTTGGATGAAAGGAGAGACAAGCACAATTACTGTCTTTGGTATTAGCCAGTGGAGAATTGATTTTACAGTATAAGATCGTGTTGTCACTATGTGTATTATTATGACTACAGAGCCAATAATGGTGGCACAGTATCTCTCATTATTCCATATTTAGTTACTGAAATGCCTGCACTCAAAGTGTATTCTACAGGGAGCAATTCGGCAGCTGTCTATGGAATGACCACACATATTGCAGCATGAGCTTATAGAAGACAGCTACCTTGTATCTCTGGATAGGAGGGGGAGCCATTGATTAGACTGGACTGTGAACGCCCAGCTAGAAGGAACAACATGAAACGGAGGAAAGGAAACAGTAGGTTGAGGACCAGATCCTCAGCTGGTGAAAATCCATATATCTTCATTGACTGCAATGGAGCTACACTGAGTTACATTAGTTGGAGATATGGCCTGGAATGTTTCCGAGTGGTGAAACCTGTTAGACTGGGATAGTAGTGAACCTTGAAGAACTGGAGAGCCACTTAATTATTGAATGGAGCTGTCGACAGCCATATGTGTTTGGCAGCACAACATCCTGACTGTGCACTGCGACATTTGTGTGATCAGGACTTGTCATCGTCGCACACCTGTGTAACATGGTGAAGACAACACAAAGCAGTGTTGGGATGTTCTGCTATGATAACTTTTGTGGGTCCGATAAGACCTTTGCACTCTAAATGGAGCACATGCAGGGAACACCAAAGATATGCAAGCTTCCTGATGTCTTATTTCTTATGCACCCCAAACTTCTGTGTGGCTCAGTGGAAGTTTTGGGTTCATGAGGGATATGGGATTGGGTGGTCCCAGGATGAAATCCTGGACCTACTGAAATCAGTGGGGCCAGGATTTTACCCTCATTTTGGATGGGAAGTGATGGAAGCACCTCATTTAAGACCATTATTAAAATGAATGGGACAAAGCCCTTCTAAATGTCTGTTGGGAGCCAGAACAAGATTGTCTTTCTCCTCCATATGTCCAAGATGACATCTAAAACTTTACCCATCTCTAACTTCTGTAGTATTCATACTGATATAGACATAGAAATAGATAGATATCCTTGTAAATCAAGGATATTCCCCAAAGTGACTGTTCTGAACCCCTAAATGCGTTGTCTTGTTTTTTTTTCCCCAGTGTTATTCCCAGCATCGTGACTTTTCCATCATGTCAGAACCTATAACACTCAACGTTGGAGGAAAACTGTACACCACTTCCCTGTCTACTTTGACTAGTTTTCCAGACTCCATGCTGGGCGCCATGTTCAGTGGAAAGATGCCAACCAAGAGGGATAGCCAAGGCTACTGCTTCATTGACCGAGATGGCAAAGTGTTCCGCTACATCTTGAACTTCTTGAGAACTTCCCACCTGGACCTCCCTGAGGACTTCCAGGAAATGGGCTTGCTGCGACGGGAGGCAGATTTTTATCAGGTTCAGCCACTGATTGAAGCGTTGCAAGAGAAGGAGGTGGAGCTCTCCAAAGCTGAGAAGAACGCCATGCTCAACATCACCTTGGATCAGAGGACACAGACAGTTCACTTCACTGTTCGGGAAGCGCCCCAGATCTACAGCCTGTCTTCCTCCAGCATGGAAGTATTTAGCGCCCACATATTCAGCACGTCATCTCTGTTCTTGAAGCTCCTGGGTTCCAGACTTTACTATTGCTTCAATGGCAACCTGTCTTCAATATCCAGCTACCTGCAGGACCCCAACCACTTGACCTTGGATTGGGTCGCGACTGTGGAAGGCCTGCCAGAAGAGGAGTACACTAGACAGAACTTAAAGAGACTTTGGGTGGTGCCAGCTAATAAGCAAATTAATAGCTTCCAGGTATTTGTGGAAGAGGTGCTAAAAATAGCCATGAGTGATGGGTTTTGTGTGGATTCCTCCCACCCCCATGCCTCTGATTTCATGAATAATAAGATTATTCGACTAATTCGGTACAAGTAGAAATAGCCTGTTGTTATGGTATCAGGAAATACATAACCAAACATAGTGTTTCATTTTAAGACCCACTTCGAGACACTGTAACAAACAGTCTAATACAAAACAATGTGATAATCTGTACTAAGAATCACTAACTGTGAGTTGATTTTCCTATACTGAATTTACCAATGTCCTTTCAGAATATGTCTATATTGTAGGTGGATGGAATGCTGTCTATTGGCTTGAGCAGGGTCTAGGAATTAAGGAGTCCTGGGCTCCATTTCTGCCTCCGCCACTGACTCACTGTATGATTGTGGGCAGGTCACTTAACTTCTCTCTGACTCCGTTTTCCCATCGGAAAACAGGGATAGTAATATTTAACCTACTTCAAAAGAATGCCGTGAGGCTTAAATAATGAGGTTTACAAATCGCCTTGAGATCATCCAATGCAGCGTTCTAGAGCTGCAGAGTTGTAGTAAGTGCAGTGGGTTTGAGTCTCCACCACGTTGCACATTGTGTAGCCAATTTTACCTGGCCAGAGTGGATGTAGAATGCTACCAAGTCAGCAGGATAGAGGTTTCACACACACTTTACAGAAGTATAAATGACCATGCAAGGAAGCGGAGAATCTGGCTTAGAGTGTTCAAACTGAAGTCTTCTTTTCCCTGTAATGAATCCTCAATCCTGTTCTTCTATTGAAGTAGCCATGTTTGCACTGGGCAGTTTGTATCGCAAATGACGAAGGATGCCATTGCAGACAGAATAATGCTGTCTATGTGGGTTTTGTTTAAACATGCTTTGAATATACAGGAGCGCCGCCAGCTTTCCTGCCGCCCTAGGTGGCGGAAGGTCCCGCCCCGAAACGCCAACCCCCCCCACAGAGGCGGTGGAAGGTCATACCGCTGCGGTCGCTGCCCCCCAAATTGTAGTGCCCTAATGGGTTGCGCCGGCCCTGTGGATACACTTAAACCCTTACCAATTACGCTCTAATGCATGAAAGGTAACTAGATTTGGTCTTTCTCATAAGGGTATGTGTGTCTGGAGGATACTGTTGAAAACATTTTTTGTTCTGGAGACAATTAACAGAATAGAGTGTGTCAGCCCCAAATGTCTTGTAAATAGTTTGAACCACATCTACCCATGTCCCACACCTTCTCTTTGGGCACATGCTCCCCAGGGCAGATGGGTAATGAAGCATTAAGGACTGAACGAAACATAGTTTGCATTTTGGAATACAAACCATCCCTTCTATAAGATTATGCATGCAGGGCTGGCTCTAGGATTTTTGCCGCCCAAAGCAAAAACAATTTTGGCCGCCCTCCCCCCCCCCCGTTTTTTAATTACCCCGGCCCCGCCTCAACTCCGCCCCTTCCCCAAATCCCCAGCCCTGCCTCCTCCCCCCAGGCTCTCAAGCCTGGGACGGAGGGGGAGCAGCGGCGTGCAAAACGGCTGCTCGGGATCTCCCCCTCCCTCTCAGGTTTGAGAGCCTGGGAGGGAGGGGGAGACTCCGAGTGGCCGCGGCGCGGGCACCACTTCTCCCCCTCCCTCCCAGGCTCTCAAGCCTGGGAGGGAGGGGGAGCAGCGGTGCGCGAAACAGCTGTTTCGCGCGCCGCGGCCGCTCGGGATCTCCCCCTCCCTCCCAGGCAGCAGCAACGGAGGTGAGCTAGGGCGGCCACGGCACATTTTTACGGGCAGCATTCTGGCGCCGGCCATGCCGCCCCTAAAAATGTGCCGCTCCAAGCACCAGCTTGTTTTGCTGGTGCCTAGAGCTGGCCCTGTATGCATGATATGTTTTCTAATTACTCTTCTTCAGTAAAGACCAGGGGCCTGACTCTCGTTTGCCCTGCACCTGTGCATTTGTTTACACCAGTGCCAAGTGCATGTTGTAAAAGACTACCCAGTCAGAATGGAAGCATTTTACACCCACTGCGCTTGGGTGTAAATGACTACACAAGGGGTAGGGAAATGGAGAACCAGCCCAGTAGAAATGGTGGAAGGGGGGGAAATGGCCAAGCACTTTAACTAAGGCCTTGTCTACACCAGAGGTTCTCAACCTTTTTCTTTCTGAAGCTTCCCTCCCCCCCAACATGCTATTAAAAACTCCACGGCCCACCTGTTCCACAATAACTGGTTTTCTGCTTATAAAAGCCAGGGTCAGCCTTAGGGGGTAGCAAGCAGGTCTATTGCCTGGGGCCCCATGCCACAGGGGCCCCCACGAAGCTCCATTGCTCAGGCTTCAGCCCCGGGTGGCGGGGCTTTGGGACCTGGGCTTCAGCCCTATGCGATGGGGCTTTGCCAGGGGTCGGCAACCCTTGGCACGCGGCCCATCAGGGTAATCTGCTGACAGGCCGCGAGACATTTTGTTTACGTTGACCATCCGCAGGTATGGCCCACCGCAGCTCCCAGTGGCCGCGATTTGCCATTCCCGGCCAATGGGAGCTGCGGGAAGCGGCGGGCCACTGGGATGTGTCTTTCTGAACAAGGTTGTCACACTCAAGCACTGACTACACTGGCAAACCTCTGGATAATGCTCACCATCTGTCATCTGTAATGAGACAGAAGGGAGAATACAGTGATCTGTAAGGCATCCAATAACTAGCATCCATACCTGCATTTTTACTGTCTCCAGAAGCTTTTAAATAAGGTCTGTGTTTCTACAAAGCTTAGCCTTATCCTAGTCCTTGCTTCCTAAAGTAATATGGTGGAGTACCAAACCAGTTTATATGTAACCATGGTATAGGAGTTGTATTTTGTTAAAATGTATAAGACCTCTTCAACTTTACCACCCCAAGCTGCAATGGCTGTAGATGGTAAAAACCCAGATACTGCAGCAAGTGGTGTTACATGTCAAGCCACCAACACCACTCCCTCTGAATCAGTGCTGTACCAATGCAGCTGTGTGATATGGGAGGCACCATGCTGTGGGAGATGTTGCCTTTTGGATGAAATGTAAAATGGAGGCCCTGACCCTTTATAGCCATTAAAAATCATCTGGAAACTTTCATAAGCTTGAGGATTTTAATCCTGATCTCCTGGCCAAGATCCAACATGAAAAATTATGTTCTTCCCATTTAAAATCCCCTTGCTGTTTCAAATGGATCAAGTAGCATTCTTCCCTCCCTGTCTGAAACTGCTGTGCGGTGTTAAACAACTGCCATATTCCACACCAGAGGTAGCTGCATGTCAGTGGTGAAGCAAAGTGATTCCTGTGTGAATCTATCTTATACAAAGAGTTTATAGTTAAACTGGATGCTAACGTGTTATACAGTACTAATCATTTTACATCCTCTGAATAGTTTGACCTGCAAGATCTCAGAAGCTGCCTGCTCTAACCAAAGCTGTGCCATAAAGCAAATAAAATTAATTTGGAAGTAGTGCTTATAGAGTTTCTGGGGAGGTTTTTATCCTACCCTCTAACCACAGAATTTCAATTATACCTGATATGCAGACACCATTTTCATCTGTCAGGAGAATAGGAATATTAATCTGTAGGAATTTATTTTTCTGTACATTTTTAATTCAACAAGCTTCGAAAGGTGTAACTCTACAGAAGTCCGTGGAGCCCCACTCATTTACACCAGCTCAGACTCTGGCCCAATATTTCCAACATCTATTTCATTATCTGTAAAATGGAGGGGAAAGTACTTATGGGCCTCAAATGTATTATGAGGCTTAATTAATGTTTGTGAAACATATAGGTGTTACAAATGCTAAGTATTAGTACTAATAAATCAGGGTGATGTCTTCTTCTGCGGTAGGATCTACATAAAGGGAGTTGTACGTGAGAAAATCTCTTTAATGCAGATGCTGCGTCTGAGAAAGATTAGATGGGCATAATGAGCTGGTAAGGCTACAGACCCATGTCATTAGGAATGAGATGAGAATACTGTCACTGTGCCTCAGTGGGTCACAACTGAGAATACCAAATTCAGGACAAGCTGCTGGGAAAAAGGGCAGACACCCCAAATCTGGTGGTTATTCTTCCATGATATATACCAAACCAGCAACAAATGTAAACTTCTGTCTCACCACACTGGCTAACAAGAAGTCAGAAATGCAGCCTCCTTAGGTATTCCAGTCCTAGATTCAACACCCTGACCCTAGATTTAATGATGTTTATTTAAAACCAGTTTCATCAAACAAAAGGGTTCTTCTCATCCCAAAGGACCAGCCATATACCCAGGTCAATATATAACTCAGATAGTACCCAATAATCATGCTTACAACCAATTCTTATTAATTAAACTAAGATTTATTTAAAAAGTAAAGAGAGAGAGTATTGGTTAAAAGATCAGTATACATACAGACATGAGTACCATTCTGGGATCAGTTTTATAGCAGAGATGGTGAGTTTTGTAGTTGTTGCAAAGAGATCATTCAGAATTAGTCCATAGGTTATAGTCCAATGTCCATATTCAGGGTGATCCAGGTGGGACTGGAGATCTCGGTTTAATGAATAAAGGCCTGTTCAAAGACTCCCCACATACAAATTCCATCCACATTAGAGGGGGTTACACTGATTTTTAACTATATCAGTACTACACCTCTCCCCATCCCTGATATGGATGCTGTTATACCAATGAAGCTTATTCCTATAAGTTGAGGGAAACCAGCTATACCGGTATGAGGCTATTTTGTACTGGTATCACTGTGCCCACCAGGCATTGTGCTGATTTGGTAAAAAAAATAAATCCCACTCCAATTGAAAAAGTTAAATTGGTACAAAAACTGTAGACCATGGATTGAGAGCCTAGAACACTTGAGCCTGGTTCCCCACTGCTATATACTAGGGTCACTGACATCTAGGCAAAGTGGATGTAAAATGCTGCCTGCTCATATGGGAGAGGTTTACACTTGCTTTTCTTAAAGGCATTATAGAGACTGACTCCCACTAACTCGCCATGTATCAGAGGGGTAGCCATGTTAGTCTGTATCCACAAAAACAATGAGGAGTCCGATGGCACCTTAAAGACTAGCAGATTTATTGAAGAAGTGGGTTTTTTACCCATGAAAGCTTATGCCCAAATAAATCTGCTAGTCTTTAAGGTGCCACCGGACTCTTTGTTGTTTTTGTTAACTCACCATGTGTAATTTAGGCCTAATCCACAGTTAAAAACTAGATTGACCTAGCTACATCACTCAGGGCTATGAACATTTTTGCACCCTGAGTGTTGTAGTTAGGTTAACCCAAACCCCAGTGTAGATGCAGCCAGGTCCAATGGAAGAATTCTTCCATCAACCTAGCTACCGCGTCTCGGAGTGGTGGATTGACTACATTGATGGAAAAATCCACTCCATCAATGTAGGAAGCATCTACACTATGGTACTAAGCAGCACAGTTCCAGCACCATAGCTGGGCCGCTGTAGTACAGACATGGCCTTAATCTCTCTATGCCTCAATTCCTCCATTGGCAAAATGAGGCTCAATCATACTTCAATAAAGTGCTGAGACCCCCACCAAAGGGAGACCATTAGGAAATAATAGGGCAGAAAAACACCAGAGAGGGTAGTTAATAAATCAAATATGAGCTCATAATGCAATGCCTTTGCCAGCCAGGGCTGTATGCACAACACAAAGGGATCTCTTGTATGACAAAGTTACTATGAAGCAGTTTATTAGAGCCTGGGAAGGACTACTCTTGTAATTCTGCATATGCTACGGGGCTCATTGAAAATGGAAATTTACAAGTTGGAGACGGTTCTGAGATGATGAAGGGACTAAAGGAGATGACATCTGAAGAGATGGAACTTAATGTATATAACCAGGAGGCATTAAGGGAGGTGAACAGAAGGTAGGAGTGGGGTTTGTTCCTGTAGGTGATGGTGGTGACATAAGGAGTAGCGATATAAAGCTAAAGATG